ATTTTTATTAACAAAAAGTACAAAATTGTTCCGTTAAATTTCGCCGCGGCGTATTTTCCGCGGTTGGGAATCTGTAGGAAAATGAGCGAGGTGCCGGATCGCGTTTACCGAGGCGCAGGAGTCTTGGAAAAGCGGAAGCAATGAACTCCACAGCAACGTGTTGCGTAGTTTTAGCAAAAACTCGTTGTATTTAATAAATTAACAAGTAGTCTCAGGAATAACAAGTTTATATTTCAATCCTCTATTCACTGAATTAATCCGCGTTATTGCGGTTCGCCGAAGCACTTGGTTCGTGCGAAGCGCCAGAAAAAGAACAAAGGAGAGATTTGCGGATCTGAATTCTCCGAAAAGCGTTCGCGAGATAAGAGTGAGACAAGAGTGAGCCCCGTCGCAGAGCGACGACAGGCTCGCACCTCTCCCTCTCTCTCCCGGCGTCCTCGCCCCACACCGCTGGCCAACGGCGTGAGAGAGATGGGCGCCGATGAGAGAGGGATGGCAATACGACAGAAGTCAGTCGCGTTAGACATTGAGGAAACAGTTCGCTCGAACATACCGCCCGCCTTCTTCGGTGATACGAAGAATGGTTGACGTGAATCAAGGCAAATAACCGCTAGAGTTTTACTAGTACAAACCATGAGTGCTTACACGCTAGTTACAAAGGTAAACTAATTAATAATAATCTTAATATAAAGCAATCAAGTAAAGCAAAGTGAATAAAGAGTAAATATAAAATAACAAATAGCAATTAGAATAGTAAACTAGACCAACCAAAGTAAAGCAAAAGAATTACGCGGAAAATTTCGGTCGTAGTTTACGAAGAGAAAAAGAAAAAGGAAGTTTTTGATGCTCAAAACAACTTTGAAGAGAGTGAAAATCACAACTTTCCTCGAACATACGATACATAAAGTGTCCAGTGCACATGTCTAAAAACTTACATATCAATCCCTCAGGCAAAGAAACCAATATATTGGATTCAAGGTTACCAATTCGGCAGTTTCAAGTCGACATCCCTTATTACTCTGTGAGTAAATCTCCTCCTCGTCTAGGACTTCGGTTACGGAAACTTCGAGTTACAACCAATTCTGTTATCCCACGACCCCCGAAGATGAGTCAATCAGGCAGCTCTCCCTCAACTTCGTTTGGCAAAGCTGAGTGGAGAAATAGTTCTCCAAAGGATACGGTGAAGATTACTGGAGTCTCTGCTCTCGGGATGTTAGGACGTGCCGATGAGGCAGATGAACATCCCGTGACGACAGAACTCCATGCAGACGTTCCTCTTGTAGAAGAAGACGCTTTCGAGGGACAGGATGATTCAGGGGATGAAGAGACTTCTGAGTCTTGGGAATGGTTTCCTTATAAAGATGAACAATCTGACCGTGGTAGAGCGACTGATCTGAGCTTAGCTCAACTAAGGCTGATGCTGATCGATGAGTCTCGATTGTATGACTCATGGGTTGTTGCCTTTGGCCACTTGGAACTTGCTGTTAATCCAAGATATGCAAATGTGCTTGCTAAGGTTAAAGATGTCGTAAAACAATGTAAGCGTCTCGCATTAGATGATACAGCTCTAGATTTAGCTCTTACTCTGACTGAGAATCCTGCGAGCATCCAGGGTTTTCTTCGGTGTTTTAAAACTACCACCAGGCGAGTACGTCCAGAGATTGATATTGTTGAAGGTCTTCAAGCATTGTATACCGATATGAACAAGAACTTCAAAAGCCTGCTGGATGAATATGCCCAACAGCGTGATCATACATTAAAAGTGAACGACCAGATGAGGACAACATCGGAGCGTTTGTCTAGGCTTACAGAAACAGTTGAAACGTTTGCCCTAAAAGCCGCAAAGCTTGACCTGTTACCGACACCTAAGACCAGACAGGACTCCGAGATCTCCATGCCAGTTACGTTCCCTGTGGAACCAGGGCAGAAAGTGGACTGTGTAAACCTTAACAAGGAAGGAGAGTATAAGGGTCATTATATACTCAAAGTAGCGGGAGGAAGAATTCAGACAGTGGTTCCTCCTTCCAATCATCCCGAATTGTCTGGATTGGAAACCTTTAAACCCGTTCTACAACATATTTTTGTCAAACTAGACCAACCAAAGTAAAGCAAAAGAATTACGCGGAAAATTTCGGTCGTAGTTTACGAAGAGAAAAAGAAAAAGGAAGTTTTTGATGCTCAAAACAACTTTGAAGAGAGTGAAAATCACAACTTTCCTCGAACATACGATACATAAAGTGTCCAGTGCACATGTCTAAAAACTTACATATCAATCCCTCAGGCAAAGAAACCAATATATTGGACTCAAGGTTACCAATTCGGCAGTTTCAAGTCGACATCCCTTATTACTCTGTGAGTAAATCTCCTCCTCGTCTAGGACTTCGGTTGCGGAAACTTCGAGTTACAACCAATTCTGTTATCCCACGACCCCCGAAGATGAGTCAATCAGGCAGCTCTCCCTCAACTTCGTTTGGCAAAGCTGAGTGGAGAAATAGTTCTCCAAAGGATACGGTGAAGATTACTGGAGTCTCTGCTCTCGGGATGTTAGGACGTGCCGATGAGGCAGATGAACATCCCGTGACGACAGAACTCCATGCAGACGTTCCTCTTGTAGAAGAAGACGCTTTCGAGGGACAGGATGATTCAGGGGATGAAGAGACTTCTGAGTCTTGGGAATGGTTTCCTTATAAAGATGAACAATCTGACCGTGGTAGAGCGACTGATCTGAGCTTAGCTCAACTAAGGCTGATGCTGATCGATGAGTCTCGATTGTATGACTCATGGGTTGTTGCCTTTGGCCACTTGGCACTTGCTGTTAATCCAAGATATGCAAATGTGCTTGCTAAGGTTAAAGATGTCGTAAAACAATGTAAGCGTCTCGCATTAGATGATACAGCTCTAGATTTAGCTCTTACTCTGACTGAGAATCCTGCGAGCATCCAGGGTTTTCTTCGGTGTTTTAAAACTACCGCCAGGCGAGTACGTCCAGAGATTGATATTGTTGAAGGTCTTCAAGCATTGTATACCGATATGAACAAGAACTTCAAAAGCCTGCTGGATGAATATGCCCAACAGCGTGATCATACATTAAAAGTGAACGACCAGATGAGGACAACATCGGAGCGTTTGTCTGGGCTTACAGAAACAGTTGAAACGTTTGCCCTAAAAGCCGCAAAGCTTGACCTGTTACCGACACCTAAGACCAGACAGGACTCCGAGATCTCCATGCCAGTTACGTTCCCTGTGGAACCAGGGCAGAAAGTGGACTGTGTAAACCTTAACAAGGAAGGAGAGTATAAGGGTCATTATATACTCAAAGTAGCGGGAGGAAGAATTCAGACAGTGGTTCCTCCTTCCAATCATCCCGAATTGTCTGGATTGGAAACCTTTAAACCCGTTCTACAACATATTTTTGTCAAACTAGACCAACCAAAGTAAAGCAAAAGAATTACGCGGAAAATTTCGGTCGTAGTTTACGAAGAGAAAAAGAAAAAGGAAGTTTTTGATGCTCAAAACAACTTTGAAGAGAGTGAAAATCACAACTTTCCTCGAACATACGATACATAAAGTGTCCAGTGCACATGTCTAAAAACTTACATATCAATCCCTCAGGCAAAGAAACCAATATATTGGACTCAAGGTTACCAATTCGGCAGTTTCAAGTCGACATCCCTTATTACTCTGTGAGTAAATCTCCTCCTCGTCTAGGACTTCGGTTGCGGAAACTTCGAGTTACAACCAATTCTGTTATCCCACGACCCCCGAAGATGAGTCAATCAGGCAGCTCTCCCTCAACTTCGTTTGGCAAAGCTGAGTGGAGAAATAGTTCTCCAAAGGATACGGTGAAGATTACTGGAGTCTCTGCTCTCGGGATGTTAGGACGTGCCGATGAGGCAGATGAACATCCCGTGACGACAGAACTCCATGCAGACGTTCCTCTTGTAGAAGAAGACGCTTTCGAGGGACAGGATGATTCAGGGGATGAAGAGACTTCTGAGTCTTGGGAATGGTTTCCTTATAAAGATGAACAATCTGACCGTGGTAGAGCGACTGATCTGAGCTTAGCTCAACTAAGGCTGATGCTGATCGATGAGTCTCGATTGTATGACTCATGGGTTGTTGCCTTTGGCCACTTGGCACTTGCTGTTAATCCAAGATATGCAAATGTGCTTGCTAAGGTTAAAGATGTCGTAAAACAATGTAAGCGTCTCGCATTAGATGATACAGCTCTAGATTTAGCTCTTACTCTGACTGAGAATCCTGCGAGCATCCAGGGTTTTCTTCGGTGTTTTAAAACTACCGCCAGGCGAGTACGTCCAGAGATTGATATTGTTGAAGGTCTTCAAGCATTGTATACCGATATGAACAAGAACTTCAAAAGCCTGCTGGATGAATATGCCCAACAGCGTGATCATACATTAAAAGTGAACGACCAGATGAGGACAACATCGGAGCGTTTGTCTGGGCTTACAGAAACAGTTGAAACGTTTGCCCTAAAAGCCGCAAAGCTTGACCTGTTACCGACACCTAAGACCAGACAGGACTCCGAGATCTCCATGCCAGTTACGTTCCCTGTGGAACCAGGGCAGAAAGTGGACTGTGTAAACCTTAACAAGGAAGGAGAGTATAAGGGTCATTATATACTCAAAGTAGCGGGAGGAAGAATTCAGACAGTGGTTCCTCCTTCCAATCATCCCGAATTGTCTGGATTGGAAACCTTTAAACCCGTTCTACAACATATTTTTGTCAAACTAGACCAACCAAAGTAAAGCAAAAGAATTACGCGGAAAATTTCGGTCGTAGTTTACGAAGAGAAAAAGAAAAAGGAAGTTAAAGTTAAAGTATCTTAGCTGGTATCGATGCTAAGAGGCGTCGGTTGGCGATACTGGTAAGGGGCACAGCTTGACGATTGGCCTCTTAACAGTGCCCTTTTCAGTGCGTAGAGTTACCACTCTAACGCATCCATCAGGTCCTGGGTGTAGTTCGGTGACGCGTCCCATCTACCACTTTGCTGGTGGCTGTAAGTCGTCCCGGATAAGCGCCAGGCTGCCGATTTCCAAATTCTCCCGGTAACGACGCCACTTCGGAAACTGTTGGAGATGCTGTAAGTATTCGCGTCTCCATCTTTTCCAGAATTGTGCTCGCATTTGTGAGATTAACCGCCAGCGTGTGTGAAGTGCAGTGCATGGTTCTTCTGGCTCTGGGGGGACGGTGGTTGGTTCCCCTATCAAGAAGTGACCCGGTGTCAAGGCGGCCAGCTCCGAAGGGTCCTCTGATAGTGCGTACAGTGGCCTCGAGTTTAGGCACGCCTCTATTTGACAGAGGAGAGTCGTCAGTTCCTCGAAGGTAAGTGTGGAATCACCGATCACTCTCCGTAGATGGTGCTTTACGGATTTTACCCCTGCCTCCCACAGGCCACCAAAATGCGGCGCATAAGGGGGAATGAACTGCCAGCTGGTGCCGTCTAATGCCAGGGATGCGGCTGCCTCCTGGTAGAATAAAGTAGACTGGCGGAACATAGTGCGGAGCTCTCTGTCTGCTCCCTGGAATACCGTTCCATTGTCGCTAAACAGAGTGGCGCAATGTCCTCGCCTGCCCACAAAGCGACGGAAGGCTGCAAGAAAGGAAGCTGAGGTTAGATCTGACACCGCTTCCAAATGTATTGCCCTGGTAGACAGGCACACGAAGAGGGCGATGTAGCCTTTGTAGGCTTTGTGGCCACGCCCGGGCGAGGTACGTAGCTTAATCGGGCCCGCATAATCCACGCCGGTGGTTAAAAAGGCCCTCTGTGCTGCAGTGCGCTCCTGTGGAAGTTGTCCCATCAGTTGTCCAGCTCTACGTCCGCTGAACCGGGCGCACGTGACGCAGGCGGCGATTTCGGATCGAACCAGTGAGCGGCCTCGGACGATCCAGACTCTTCTCATGAGATGGCTGCGAGTAAGCTGTGGACCTCCATGGAGCGTGCGGTAATGTGCGTCCCGTATCAGAAGCCTGGCCAACGGACATCTCTTCGACACAAGGTAAGGATGTTTCTCATTGTACGGCAGAGCCGCGTTTTCTAAGCGCCCTCCGAGCCTTAGCAAGCCCTGGTCGTCTAAGAAAGGTCGACACGGAGAAAGGGGTGAAGCTTTGCGTAGCTCGCCGTGCCGTTGCAGTTGTTCAATCTCCTCCAGGAAACTGGTGTGTTGAGAGAATCTCAGAACTGCTAGGAAGGCGTGGGTGCGCTCCGCTGCTTTAACAAAACCCTTCTCGCAAGGCTGCCCTCGGCTTAGACTGGCAAACCTGAAACACTGGGCAATAACAGATAAAAGGTGCGAGAGGGAGGAGAAGCGGCACAGGAAGTTTTCTCCGAATTTCTCCTTGACGACGTGTACCGTGGCTCCTCTTCTCTCTGCCTCTATTCCCTCGTTGGACTCCGGAAAGGTCGCCGGCCAGAATTCAGGCTGTTCCGTCAACCATTTCGGCCCGTGCCACCAGATATCGGAGTCGACGAGCTCGGCTGGGCTCATTCCTCGGGTTGCCAAGTCCGCTGGATTGTCCGGAGAGCGGATGTGCCGCCAATTGTCCGCCGGTATCTCGTGCTGGATATCGGAGACTCGATGGGCAACGAAGGGTTTCCATTGAGATGCATGGCCGCGGATCCAGTGTAAGGTTACACTTGAATCCGTCCACGCGATGGTCGGGCCAGACATATTAATGCCTTCTTTGACCCGAATCAATAATTTAGATAACAAGGTGGCTCCACACAGTTCCAACTTCGGAATTGTTATAGTCTTTACCGGGGCCACCTTAGTTTTTGCGACCAAAAGCGAGGTCGTTACCGACCCATTGTTATTGACCCGCAGGTACACCGCTGCCGCATAAGCTCGCTGCGAGGCGTCACAAAAACCGTGAAGTTCCATCTGGGTGGACGGCTCTGATGAGGCAAATGTCCAGCGTGGGATCTTCAGGGTATCCAATTGCTGCAAGGAGCCTCTGAAGCGCTGCCACATAGTGCAGACGTTCTCTGGCAATTGCTGATCCCAGTCCGCTCCAAGGATCCAGAGGTCCTGCATTAAAATCTTGGCCACGACTAGGACCGGCGCCGCCCAGCCCAGTGGGTCGAAGAGGCCTGCGATTTCCGAAAGGATAGACCTCTTGGTGGTGCATTCTCTCACCAGCTCAGCGGCTGCGACTCGCAGGGAGAAGGCATCATCCCTAGGATTCCAGTTCACGCCTAGTGTGCTGATGCCGGACCATTCCTGAAACAGGCGCGTATTAGAAGAGTCGGCTTCTTGAATTTCCGGTATGTTAGATGCCCATTTGCTTAGTTCGAAACCGCCAGCTTTGAAAATTGCCACCACTTCTCTTTTCAAAGCCAGGGTCTCGCTGACATCATCCGCCCCGGTGAGAATATCATCGACATAAGTGTGTCGACGCACCACCGAAGCTCCTCGGGGAAATCGGCTGCTTTCGTCGTTCGCCAGCTGGGCAAGTACCCGTAAAGCTAGGAAAGGCGCACACGCCGTGCCATACGTCACCGTTGTAAGCCGAAAGTCCTGCACTCGTTCGTCGGGAGTGGCGCGCCAAAGGATGCTTTGCCACTTAGTATCCTCTGAATGGACTCGGATCTGTCTGAACATCTTGGCAATGTCCGTGGTGAATACGACCCGAAAAAGTCGCCAGCGGGTCAATACCATCCATAGGTCAGCCTGGAGCTTCTGACCAGTGGCGAGGCAGTCGTTTAGCGATTGGCCCGTGGCTGTACAAAAAGAAGCATTAAAAACGACCCGTAACTTGGCAGAAGGATCGTGACGCTTGCGTACGGCGTGGTGTGGCAGGTAATACGCAGGCCCTTTATCCGCTTCTTCGGGTGCACCCTGCATGTGCTGTAAAGTCAGGTACTCCATCATAAAATTTCGATACTGCTCTTTCAGCGTAGCATCCGAGGATAGGCGTCGTTCACAATTGAAGAGGAGTTTCAACGCCGTCGTCCTGTTGGACTTCAGCGCAGTCCGCGGGTCCTTTACGAAGGGAAGGCGCACCACGTAGCGTCCCGATGGATCTCGAGCATGGGTGTCAAGGAAGTGACGCTCACACTTTTCCTCTTCTTGTGACATTGGAGCCCGTTCTCGAATCTCGTCCAGCTCCCAGAACCGCTGGAGGAGTTGGCTTGTGGAGTCCTCGCCGTGGCAGTGAAGAACCCGAGCGGCCGTCTCCGCCTTGGGTTTGTCGTCGGAGGCTGGTCCCATAAGCACCCAGCCAAAGGGGGTGAGTTTCGCTGTTGGAGTACCCTCTGGCCCTCTGCGCGAGTCGTCACCAAAGAGCGTTCCGCAAACATCCGCACCTAAAAGTAAATCTACCCGAGCCGGAACTCCGTACTCGGGGTCAGCAAGCGTGAGACCGGTAATATGCGGCCAAGACTTTGCCACGATGCGTTTGCTCGGGAGCAACGACGTTAGTTTGCGGAGTACCAACGCACGAACTGGTAATCGGAAGTCCGAGGTGTGTCGGGGTCGAACTACAAGTGATACCTCTCCGGTCGCGTGTCCAACCTCATTGTCCTTAACGCCTGAGATGGCCACTCGCACTGAGTTGCGTCGTCAGACGTCGAGGCAGCGTCTTCTCGTGCCGGCTGTCCGCCTTCACGGCCTGGTGCGCTTGCCGGTGGAGCCGTCAGCGCCTCGTGCAGTAACGTAAGGTGTCGCTTGCTACAAGCTAAACAGACTTGTTTAGACGGACACTTACCCACTTCGTGTCCTACATTCAAACAGCTCAGGCAGGCCTTCAGCTGTTGGACGCGCTCCTTGCGTTTTGCCGGCGACAGCGCCTTGAATTTATAACAAAATCCTAGACCGTGGGTGCCCGAACACCCCGGACATTTCCGGGCCGGGGGCGACTTTGATGCTGCGGCTAAGACGTTAGAGTTAACGCCTTTTGCTGATGCTCCTCCTTTTGTTTTAGGTTTGATTTCCTTTGAGCTGGTCGGCGACACAGCGTGGAGTGATGGGTCCGTCATGCCTGCAGCGCCTAAAGCTTGGATCCGGTTCTCCAAGAACTGCGATAATTGCTGGAACCGCGGGATTTCCCGGCTATCCGCCAAAGAAGTCTCCCAAGCAAGGTGAGTAGTTTTGTCAAGCTTTTGGCTTAGTAAGTATACAAACCACTCATCCGATGAAGTAACGGGTTTCCTCAGTGTAACGTACGCCCTAATCGCCTGGCGGAAAGTGTCTAAAAGCCGCTTCAATTCGCCAGCTGACTGCTGCAGGGCTGGTGGGCACAAGAGGAGCGCTCGATGATGGGAAAACGATAACAGACGAATGTTACCGTACCGGGCTTCCAGATCGTCCCATGCTCCCCTGAAGCCGGAGTCCGTTATCGGCGTATTCCGAATGACCTCGGCGGCCTCACCTGTCAAACTAGACTTCAAATAGAGTAGCTTCTGTACGTCAGGTAAGTGGCTGACGTCATGGACTAGACTTTTAAAAAGGTCGCGAAAGCTCTCCCATTGTAACGGATCGCCCGAAAATTTCGGCAAATCAATTTTAGGCAGTTGCGGGTGGGGCGGAGGCGCAATATTGGACTGTTGAACATGCGAGGAGCAAGGGGTCGGCAGCTCTTTCAGGTGATGGGAAATCATGGAGGCTGCGTCGAGGTAAGCTTCTTCTGTGACCGAAAAGGCGTCCTCTTTGACATATGAACTAGAACTCGCCTCCTTGCATCTCATCAATTTACGGTGTCCGCTAAGGAACGTGTCCCAGTATCGGTTGAGCAAACCCTGTCTCTGCTCTAAAACCGCTCCCGTCAGCTTGTCCTTTCCTAACTTGCATACGTTAGCCCAGAATCTTTGTATCCACCCCGCTACTTCCTCTTGTTCACGCAGAAGATCCGAAAAGGACGTAGTCATGATCGCAATTCAAGGCGAAATTTAATTTAATATTTCGATAGAGAACCACTGAGACCGTACTTCTAAGCCTTTCAACGCGTACCGTAATGTTGGTAAATATTAGTCGCGCTGACTTACCCAAAGTCGTTAGGCTCTCGGCGTGACGTCACAAAGCGTGGTCGTTGCCGTTGAAACAAAGGATGGTTACGTAACCGGTTTTCAATCGGCTCTTCTTTTCAGATTCCTGGTTGGAGATTTTCGCTGATCTGGATCGCCGAAGAAGTTCTCCACAGGTGAAGAAGAAAAGCCAGATGCACTTGAAGCACAGAGTTCACTTGCGCGATTTTCCCGAAGCACCGTTGTTCGTTTAACCAGATCCGGCTCGAAGGACCAGTTTGTTCCGTTAAATTTCGCCGCGGCGTATTTTCCGCGGTTGGGAATCTGTAGGAAAATGAGCGAGGTGCCGGATCGCGTTTACCGAGGCGCAGGAGTCTTGGAAAAGCGGAAGCAATGAACTCCACAGCAACGTGTTGCGTAGTTTTAGCAAAAACTCGTTGTATTTAATAAATTAACAAGTAGTCTCAGGAATAACAAGTTTATATTTCAATCCTCTATTCACTGAATTAATCCGCGTTATTGCGGTTCGCCGAAGCACTTGGTTCGTGCGAAGCGCCAGAAAAAGAACAAAGGAGAGATTTGCGGATCTGAATTCTCCGAAAAGCGTTCGCGAGATAAGAGTGAGACAAGAGTGAGCCCCGTCGCAGAGCGACGACAGGCTCGCACCTCTCCCTCTCTCTCCCGGCGTCCTCGCCCCACACCGCTGGCCAACGGCGTGAGAGAGATGGGCGCCGATGAGAGAGGGATGGCAATACGACAGAAGTCAGTCGCGTTAGACATTGAGGAAACAGTTCGCTCGAACAAAAATAAAAAACTTTATTCTGTGCATTAGTATGGTCACATTGACACGGGACATTTAAATGAAGGCAATAAATCCCGGTTTTAGTCCCTCTTTCGTCTTTAGCTACTGACTCTTTCTAATCAGTGTTTACTGACTAGGCAATCAAATTTGAATAATGATTCTCCTATTCCATAACAGTTGCGGAGTGGACCGGCAATAATTATGTACATTTATCGAGTTTTCACTAAATATGGTGCAAGTTTTATAATTCATTTTTCTGGCATACCATTTCAAGTATTCTATCTGTAATTTAATTGATGAAAAAAACATGATTATAAATATGAATAAAAAAGTTTGATGGTTGCACACATTAGTACATGTATTGTTTCATTCTCGAACCTCTTTCTCTCTCGAGCGCCCTGTTCTTTTCTATGTCTGGCAGGAATCAAAATCGGCTCGAACCTGTTGCAATTGTAACAGATGTGGCAACAGCGTGACAGAAGTCTTAATACGTTGCGACAACTATGCCTTACTTCTGACTATATTCGCGTAGCTGCTTGTGGTGTCAAATTAGAATTTACATTTATCGACTGATTTCTGTTTTTATCGACCCCGATGATAATGTGGTCAAATATACCATCAATGCCTCTGACGGAAAATCAGTGAACTATTCTTCCGTCTATTTGACGTCTGATGCGTGCAAATCGTAAATTTCGTTTTACGTCTTCCAGAAGTGATAAATTGTGAAAAATCGAATTTCAGTGACATTGTGCTAGTTCAAGGAAGGGTGGTCTGGTGTGCTATGGGTGAAAAAACCATTAAATCGTCCAATATTTGCTAAAATGCAGCCGAACGCAGCATTCGGCAGCCATGTTGTTTGTTTACAACAGCGTCTGTCTCAATCTTACAGTGTCGAAAATATCATTTTTCTCAACGTATGGTGTTTATTAGCGTTCAAACGGACCAAACCACCCTGTGGTGAAGTCTATCCGTGGGTGCTGTACCCGCGAAAATTTCATTTGTGCAATTATCGAGACGAAAAACGAAATCTACGAAATCGAGTGTCTCTCTCACGCATGGCGTATACGTGCATGCTTTCCGTTGATTGTGTGAGTGCACGCATACAGGTCATGGCACAAGGAGTCTGTGCCCTTAAGCTCGAACTCGAATAGGTGGCACATATCATAAAACCGCATGAAAGAAGAACGATAAACTGTTCGCTCGAGCGTGACAATGCATGGCCTCTGGCTTTCATGCTGCTCTCACTCCTTCTCGGATCTCTCACTCGGTGGGCGACTTCAAACAAAAAAGAGGCGATAGTGATTTGCTTATTTCAAGACACGAAAGTGTAGCTTATTCCGGGGCAATATTGTACATATTCTTCGGCGAATTCTTTCACGACAGATTTGGACTGTTCTAGAAGATCTTGCAGAAAACATATAAGCAAGCGTTGCCGGCTAGATTCAGTCAGTCGGTTTATAAGCTAACGAGGGGAACTACCCAAGTGTTACACTCACTTATTAATGAAACTTTCCCACCTTGTAGAGCTCGTCGCCCTGAACACGCCTATACCCCATTTTGGAGGCAGACGGCTAATTGTTTAAAAGATATTAACAATTAAAGTTAGTTACTCCTTACATTGAGAAGCATGACAAACTAACACATATAAATGCTTAGCTCCGCGGTAAAACGCTAGACTCGCAATCTAACTGTCCACGGTTCAAGTCGATGGTTCCCTCCAACTTTTTTTTTCTTTTTTCTTCTTTCTTTTTAATGATAATCTGTCTCTTTTTGAATAACTATTACAACTGTGCTATAATCATTGCATTTATTAATAGGTAATTAATTACATGTGCTGAAATTTTTATAAAATTTAAGTTATCTTTTCTATCCAATACGTACATTAACACCCTTACCGCATTCAAAATTTACTTTTACATTCAAAACATACGTTTCGGCTCTATCCTTTCATCATCGGATCTCTCTCTTTCTGCCACTGTCTGTCCCTTTCTACGTTCACGCTTGGCTGGTCGTCGCGAGTAACCCGAGATTCGACACCTCGCTTGGATAAATGCAACCACTGGGTCCCAATCTTGGTTGCATTTATCCAGGTTTTACTGTACGTTAATACATTAAAAGTTTAGTCGCGCGGTACCCCTCTCCAGTGATCTTGGCGCGTCAGTCTCGCGTATCGCTCGAATTTCATGCTATAGGACAATTCTTGAATTTCAATCACAATGCCAGCATATAAGTAGGGTAAATTCTAAGAGAGCATATTTAAAAAGACGAAAGAGCTACTTCGTGTAAAAGAAAATAAAAATGAATTTAATTCACTGAAGTTTTGCACTTCGAATATAAACGCAAGATAAATGTTTAGTTTTATCATTTCACAGTTCGTTAACACATCGCAGTTACGCAGTTAATGCATCAGTTAATTATCACGCAAAGGACTGCATCAAACATTCGAA